AGACCTCTCCAACTTAACGTTTAGGTTCAGTGTGCCTCTAACCATTCGGTGATCGCTGCCAGTTTTCACCCTTGCGATCACTAAACAGTTGTCGTCTGGTCGTCATAATGAAATCAATCTCATTTTTTGTCGAACCGTCGGGGCTCGACCAAGTCCACATCCTGTGGGGCCGCTTCTGGAAGAAAGAGTTCATCATAAAGAGTCCCTCTTTCTCCATAAAGTCGGCCAGCTGCTGGCCCCTACGATTCAGTTGCCCTACTTCAAATTTCTCTAACTTCAGCTCACCGCTTTCTATAGTGCCTAGTTTTGCGTTGAAGTCTCCCATCAATACCGTGTAGTGGGTTTTGGAGGAATGCATGGCTCTGAAAATATCCTCATACTTTTCCTCCACTATCGGGATGTGCCGAGGTTGGTGCGTAAACATGTATGATCCTCAGCGAATACCGTTTGGTGATTCTGAGTATCAGGTACGCGACCCTCGTCCACACACTCTCAATCTTTACAACGTTGTTGACGAGAGACTTGTGGACGATAACTCCAACACCTCCTTGGGACAGATGGTCGCCCTCCCGGTGATAGAACAAGTTGCCGGACTCGAGGATTACCGTGTCCTCCGCCTCTCTTCGGACCTCGGATAATTGAATAATATGCCAGCGCAACTTGTCTACCTCTTCTTCCTGCTCCAGTATCTTCTCGTCAGTCCTCAGGGTGCGTGCGTTATATGTTGCCAGGTCGAGTTATCGTAGGTGGCAACCGAACCTTCACTGGTTATCTATATTTATATATTGTTATTATTATATAATCTCAGCACCCCCTGCCCCGCCGTTACCATGGTTGCCACCGTAGCCAGGAATAGCGGGGCCGCCGGGGACTGGGGGCCGTTTGTTTGCGTCGATATTCATGGGGGGATATATTTGCCATAGTTGCCACGCTTGGCGAGCGGGTTGGCAACCTCAGTTTTTTTATTATAATATTGTTGTTATTAGGAAGATGGTGCTGCCCATCTCCTGCCTGTCTCCCTCTGTCGCCTCTTACGACACCCACGGGAAGATATGGGGTAGTGGACCTTCTCAACCGCCACTACACGGCACGGCTTAAGTTTAGTGTCAGTTAATGTGTTGTGTTCGCGTATATATCAGAAATCATTGTTGTAAACTTATCGAAATTCTAAAGTATTTTCAAAAAGAATAATATTGGTGTCAAAGGTAGTTATAAAAATATTTATTCTATTGATATCATTACAGCTAGACATTACCTTCCACAAGTTCAGGGTTGATAAGCAGTATCGGCTAACCCTCTTTTATTGACACCTTGGAGCATGAAATATGATTTATCAAAATGTTCGGAGCAAATAGTGCTAATCCGTTTAGGTATCCAAGATTCATGATTTCTACTGTAATCTAAGTACGTCGCCTCAGAGGAAAAGCTTCTCTTGGAAATATATAGAATCAAACCAATAATAGTAAATGTTACTGTTTTTGTAATACTTTATTGTAAAATCAAAACAAAAAATCAAAACCTGTTTGGCAGACAGATCCCAGTAGGTTAATTAACTTATCGATAGCTAAAGTTGTGGCGTACATTACTAAATTGCAGTACTTTCGATGGCAGTGATACCAGTTTGTTTTATAAAAATTGCATACATTTGCTACGAAGTGGCGAATATCGATTCGACTTATTTGACCTTTATTTTGTATAATATTTTGATAAATACCAGTAATCGATTGTTTTAAATCATAATCATGTAATTAAAAAATATTCAGAATTATGTTGAGATTAAGCTGAATATTTAATAATGTTATGATTTATTACGAGCTGATTTACTTATTAGGAAACAAATTTTCGTCACAATATTTATTTTGTGTAATAAATTGTATTTATCTAAAAATAGTTTATTTTTCACTTTATGAACTATGATGGCAACGCTTTGTATTTTACGAAAATATTCAGAAAATACCAGTTTTAACGATAATATTATTTTAAAAATATTCACAGATGAAACGTCGGTTTTGGATGTTCTTTGCATGAAAACGCACTGCAATTTGGCATTTTGGTCAGAGCTCAATTGACTGGCACGATCACTTGCGGAATGGTACACGATGTAGAACAATTGTTTTTTATATTACCGGTATGCGTCGCACTCACGTACCTTTCACAGAAGGGTGTATCTTGCGATGCCGCTTCCTTTGGTTTAATACACAAAGACTATGACCAAAGAATAAGAGACGACATACCATAATGGTCTATATAAAATATACGACATATAGGAATATTATATGACTCTATACAGAAACAAAATAGTATATATGTTTCTTTATAACGTATTGTTTCTCCTGTCGGTATTTACTTGAATTTAAAGTTCCTATGGTCACAAAATAAATAACAGTATTACGTACAGATGTCACACTCTATTGATGTTGACTGCTTGCTGACGTTTAAAAGTCTATCATATAACAAATAGCGATCGATTGCGCAATCGATCGCTATTTGTTCGTTACAATCTAGGCTGTTATTACGTAAAAACTTATAATATGATGAACAATTTTTAAAACTTTATTACTTAAATTGAATAATTATATTCAAATACCACTACGACTATTTCGTATTTAAAGAATACAACATAATTACGATAATGTAATCTATAGAAAATTATGTTTAGATCTTGTCATTCCGAGTATTTTTAAAAGTCGATTTTATCACATTTTTCATACAGTATTTGCAAAAATATTATATACTAATAAGACATTAATTTGGTATATAAATACCAGCAGAATTCAATAAAATTCAATACTCACGGCATTTTATTACCTCGTTAAATCCACTCAAGCGTCACTTCACTCACTAAACTTTAACTAACAAAGTTTCGATATTTTCGTCCTAGAGACTGGTAATTTTGATCCAAATCTATGATTTATATAATTGGTTTTTGGTTTTAATACGTAATAGTTAGACTCTGTTGCGTTTAAAATACGGTCTAAATTCAATTAAAATAACTTTGCGCTTGACAACCACAGTTGCAAAGAGCAAAGTTAAGGATTCTGTTTTTGCAACTGTGGTTGCAAGAAGCAAACGAGTGGCTAGTGAATGGAAGTTGTAAGCGCGAGCGAGACGCATGTACATGTTTCGTTATGTAAGCACAATGTGGCCGAGTTCAGGGACAGGGACGAGACAGGGACACATCGTTACAGCCAACATTTTTGAGAATCGGCTGACGCGCGCCTTACGTTACCAAAAATTATTTTTCTTTTATGCGTATTTAGGCACTTTTGATATTTATTTAGATTTTGACTGCCTCTTTGGCTTTTTTGGTTGCGTGTCCGGCCAAATTAGTTTTTATATACTTACATACGTACTATAGCAATTATTGAAAATAAATTTTGTAATGAATATTTAATGATTAATAATAAAGAAGACTGATTTATTCAATTGTTGTTATTTCATTACAATTTAAGAGTTTAAGGTAAATGATAAAAAACAGTTTTACTTTAAAAAATGTCATTTTACTAGGACTAAAAAATTAAGGGTGTCCGGCCTTTTTTACCAAAATGTCCGGCTAAGCTCGCTGGTCTGTCCGACTTTTCGGTATAAAGACCTGGCAACCCTAGGTGAGCGTAAGGTCCATGGAGTATAGAGGTAAGGAGGACAATGTCCCATAGGAGAATAGTTGAAATTATGTCCATCTGTTAGCAGTACATAACAGCTCAAAAACTCTCCACAACAGCGTTCGAGTAGCCACAGGATATGATAAATCGCCGTAAAATACGTTGAGAGTGATTTTGAAAATAAAAATTTTGAAAGCAACAAAATAATTATTGTAAAAAGAATAATAGTGAAAGTCTGTGCAATAAAAAATTATAAAAATTTCTTTAAAATTTAGACTGTAGCTACAGTGGCGCCATCCTTATTTGTGTGTGTTTGGGTCCCCTTTTTTTCTGAGGACGACATAAAGCAGCTGCCGCTAACTTTATAAATTCGTCCTCGCTGTCACTGTTTGTCATATTTCTCGATTGACAAACCTTTCTGGAATGACCTAAGAGAGGCGTCCGAGGACGCCGTCTCAGCTACCGTGCACACCGCTAACTGACGGACGCGTCGGATAATTTGTTCTCAACTGTACATAGCACGCGCTATGCGCTATGAAGAGATAGCGCGCTATAATATGACGCTATGCGCTATATTAACCACCATTAGTTTGGCAGAAAAAAGTGCTAGCAAGCGCTTGTAAGCAAAATGGCAATCGTAAACGGTAAGCGCTGTCAAATCGTAAGTAGCTATTTTCCTCTAGGACACGAAGTTAGTTTTAACCGGGGAACCTAACCTAATTTAAATATATGTTTGTAAGGTATTCATATTAAAAACTTACCAATCATGAATGTTTAATAACATGTATATGTTTATTCATGTCATTATATTACTTAAAACTAATATTGCACAAAACAACTTATAAACTCAACTTCAAAACAAACAAATTAAATAAGCAAAATGGCGGATTGTGTCAGCACTACTGAAGTTAGCATACGTGTCCTGGCCGAAAACTGTTTAGTTTCGCCATTATGTTCGCCAGTATGTTGTTGTTGCATAGACATAGTTGTTGTTATTATTGTTATAGTTCATAAAATATAGCTTGATCTCTGCGACAGCTGTCAGTAAAAATCACGCCTATGAAGTCCTAAATTTCTTAGTAGTACAGATAGTACCTGTCAATGTCATACTTTATGGGTATGCACTAATTAGGTCGGCAGTTTCAGTTTATACAAAGGTACTCTGTGGTAGTAGTATCCTCTGCTCTGTGGCCAAAAGGAATCTTAGCTGAACTGCTGAATAGAAGAAATACGCCAAAATACGCTACCTACATGTTATTTTATTTTGTGGTTAAAATTTTGTAATATTTGTGGATTTAGATTTAACTCATAGCATATTGACATATAACTTTAGATTTACGAGTATTATAAATAAGAAAATGATAATCTAATTCCTAAGAAGTTATATAATAGAGAAAAATGTCAGCAAATAAAGTTTTAATTGGTATGAGTTTCAAAAAATATTAAGTTTATATTCCATTCAATCAGAAACATGAAAATGACTAATTAAAAACATATATTATTTAATAGGCGGTGGTACAGGGTTTATAGGACAAAACTTACGAAAATTGCTTTCTACCGGTGGTTACAATATTGTGAATGTATCACGTATGCCTGGCGCCAATAATGTATCCTGGTCGACTATAGAAAAATCTGGCTTGCCACTTAATACAAAGGCAGTTGTTAATTGTGCAGGACAACAATTTATGGATTTCACTAAGAGTTGGACGCCTGGGTTAGTAGTCCCTCATACTTATAACGTAATTGGTACTTATAAATAGGGTAGCATTCAGTGTTACGATTTAGTTGGTAATTCTTAATTGATGTACAGTAATGCTATAATGCACGCCCTAGCGGATTTTTATGTGAAAATTTGTAGTTTATAAGAAATTTATTTTAAAATTTTGAGTTTAATTGAGGTTATATGCAAAGAATATATTCATTCCCCACTCAATGTTAGTTCAATTTAAATTTAATTACATTTATAGGGTGCAAAAAAGTTAAAAGTACTGCAAGGTTGTGTTAATCAGACTGATGTAAAATTCAATAATATTTATGTCGATTTAAATCACTTGATATTTATTTATGATCGCTATGTACATATTTATTTATTTATCATTAAGGCAATTTTTTTTATTTGTGCATAATGCTGATAATTTCTATCAAGAACTAAAAAATATTAGTTTTTTTTTAAATAGAGGATGGTGCAAATGAGCATGCGGCTCACCTGATGCCTGATGGTAAGTGACTACCGCCACCCATGAACAACTGAACACCAGGGGAATTGCAGGTGTGTTGCTGGCCTTTTTGAAAGGAGTAAGCTCTTTTCTTGAAGGGCCCTAAGTCGTATCGGTCCGGAAAAGTCACCGGTGGTAAAAATTCCACAGAGAAATTGTATGAAAAAAAAAGTCTTTGTAAAATACACAGTGGTGGACCATAAAGCATCCAGATGATGTGGATGGTAAACAATTCTTAAGAACACTCCACGTAATAGAAATAGAATAGAAAACGCAAAGGGATGCAACATCACTATGAAGCGCCAGTGAATCAAGTCGATCAGAAAGAACTCGGTCATCGATGATTCGAAACGCTCTGTGTTGGATGGGGTCAGGTGACACGAGCAAGAGCACTGCTCAGAGGTGGCACTGGGGTGCCCCGACCCAGAGATGAGAGTGGTATTTCATGTGAGGCCGAACTTGCGCTTTGTAAAGTTACAAGCGATGTGCCAGCATGAAATACTTTCTCGCCCTGCTGAGCATGCCAAGCTTTTTAGAAGCCAATTTGGCCTTACCTTCTAAGTGATTACAGAACTGCACACTATTCAATATGTCGACGCCGAGGATTCCTATCCTAGCTGAGGCAGCAAGGGGAGTGCCTTAAAGCTGAGGAGTTACTACATAGGGGCTTCTTTTTAGCGGTAAACTAGCTGATCGAGTACAACGAAAACCATATTGGTGCTCAGTAATCAGCTGATGATTCTCAAGGTACCTCATGAGCTGACTGTTTAGAATGGACTTCATTGTTTTGGAGAACAGGAAGTGATGGCAATAGGCCTGTGGTTGGATGGGTCTGAGCGGTCACCTTTTTTAGGGATCGGGTGGACCAAAGCTGTCTTTCATGAATTCGGGACTACGCCTTGGGAGTAGGAGTACCGGAAAAGACGTGTTAAAACCGGTGCCAACTCCGGAGCACACGTCTTCAGCACACAATGGCAGGGACTCCATCAGGCCCACTCGACTTGTTGACGTCCAGGGAGAGGAGTGCTTTGCGAACCGAGCGCTGTGTAAGCAGCACATCCGGCGTGGAGCACTCACACCGCGGCATGGTCTTTGGTGTGTTCCCCCGTCATTGAGAATCGAGTGGGACGCAAAGAGAGAGCCTAACAGATCGGCTTTCTCCTTTACGGCATGGGCCAGTGAGTCGTCCTCTTTGTGCAAAGATGGACGAGATGACTGACAGAAGTTCCCTTGGACAGCCTTGGTGAGAGACCAGAGTTCATGGGATCCCGAAGGAAGGCGAACTAGCTTCTCGCCAATTCTGCCGATGTACAGACCTTGCCTTGGAAATGACTCTGTTGTAGGACCTGGAGGCGGAATTATACTTCTTTTTAAGAGAGCGGGTGTTTACATTCCGAGTCGTTGATGCGACCAAACCATGGCTAGGATCTGTCTCCGATGGGCACCACAGAGGATGGAATAAAAAGTTCCATACCCTGCCCTGAAGTACCACATCAGCGACAGAATCAGCAACAACGCTGGGATCGACGGCGAGAAGCAAACCCTCCCCCCAAGGGTAGGTTCCAAAAAAGACCGCATAATATCCCAATTAGGGATGCCCGATTTTTTATTACGAATCGATCTTCGGGATTGTACAGGATCGTAACCTCATGAATCGATTCAGGATTTAATCATATTGCATTGAATCAATCTTATTCGATCTCGGAAAATCGTATCGAAATTTTATAAATATAAAGAAAAGCACATTATGCTTTCAAAATATTTATTATAACAATGCCGATTACGGTATCCTGTTAGTTTATCCAAATTATTATTTTAGAAAAATATCGAAGAGGTTTTACGTTATGAGTTTCAATTATCTACATTTAAACTCTTCAAAAATAATAATTTTGACAGCCGCACAGGACTTAGCCTATTACGGCTATCTGTTAATGTATTTCCAGCTAGGGAAAACAGCCGTTCTGAAGGAACCGATGTTGCAACAATTTTCAGATACTTCAATGCACACAAACAGATACTTACTTCAATTTTATTTATTTGTATATAGGATAGAAACTTAAGATTTCGGCAATTGCTGTACTTAGTAGAACTTTCTTCACTTTTGCTTTAGCTCAGAATAAGTGCCTATGTATTATATATACCAGTTACTAATTTTAACCATCTATTTACACATTTTACGTTGTCAACCCATGTAAAATTTAATAAAAACGTTTGATTTGGTTGACGGAGCCATATTAAAAATTATTTTAAAATAATAGTTTACGCTCACAGAACAACTCAACTTTTCGTATCGCAATAATACAAAAAATGAAAAATCATAGAACACTGACATGTGTACCCGATTGTAAAATAAACAAAATATTATCATACCTACCTTCATATTTCATACATTACCGCTTTTGATGTAATTCGAATCTACTCTGATTCAATGTGTAGGTCAATAATCTTACTTTGTTTTAGTTATTGTCTCCTCCCCGGAAATACGATAGGTAGGCAAAGATTCGTTCGTATGTTATAGTACGTTACGGTTCGTTGTAGTTTAGGTTTTAGTAGATACGATTTTATAGGCATACGATTCGATCTGAGTGAAGATCGCATTCCCTTGAATCGATTCAAAAATCGGTAGATCGTATGGCCGTGAATCGATCTTCCAGAAAATCGATTCAGATCGGGCATCCCTTATCCCAATTGGCTGACCTGCAAAATGCAACCGCGACGTTAATGTGACTGCATGACACTCGGCACCACACTCCGTACAAGACATTGTTCCTACGCACCTAGAGGGGCGTCGACGGAAACCTGATATCCGTCCGGATGAGACGTCAGCAGAAGGTCCAACAGGGAAGGTGTATGAGCTTCAACATCTGGAATCCGCGTAGGTAATGTAACCAGTGTCAGACCATATGCCAAGGCAAAGTCATAAACAGATCTCCCCGCATGATCTGTTAAACGTGAACCGAGCTATTCGGCGTGGTAGGCGTTGAAATCGCCAACGATTACGATCTCTGCGGATGGCATCTGCTCTAGCACGGAATCTGTGGCCATTTGGACTTGGTCGATGAGTCGGTCTGTTTCGGTATTACCGCTATGGAGCCTATAGAGGCACTCATAGACGCGGGAATGGTTATCGCAGTCTACGCGCAGTCATAGGATGGACAGGTGCGTACCTTCAAGACTGCCGAGGCGTCGAAAATAGATGTCCTCTCTGACGTATATGCAAACTCCAGCCTGGGGTACAAAGGAGAACTCTAATTTGTACCCTGGTTAGGAGAGATATGAAGTATCAGCTGTAGAAAACACCTGAGTCTTCGTTAAAAAGAGCGAGGCCGGCTTCGCCGTCTCCAGGTAATATTGGGCAGCGTTAAGGTTGGAATGAAGTCCCCTGTGATGTTGCAAACATTTACGGATAGCGTGGCAGGGGTCGCCCTAGTGTTGTTGTTCCCCGAGCAGTTTTAGTCGCGTGCGGAACTACGCCCCCCCCCCCCAGAATAAGTGGGACTGCCTGAGCGCCCATGCTCAGGAAGAGTAGGATAACTTGGTCGTGGATGCGCCGCAAGGGATTCTCCGTCACCAGGGGTGCTGGGGTAGTTTTTTAATTGATTTCTCTACCATGTTAAGGGGGGGGGGTAGGGTATTGGGTCTCCAGCCATCTGCACTCGCCAAACGAAACGGGAAGGTAAATCTCTGCTTCACGCTGGTTTTTTGTGAGGTTGTGGTACCAACCCGGTTCGAACCTGTCCATCCTTGTGACAGAAAAAGCTGCCGCGTGGCTCTACCACTGAAAAACATAAAAACTGTTTTTTTTTTGGTGATATAATATGTTCATTTATTTTGCTTGCGACTTACATTATTACTACTTGTTGAATATGACTTCATTATGACGACCAGACGCCAACTGTTCAGTGATGTCTCAGTGATCGTAAGGTTGAAAACTGGCAGCGATCACCGAATGGTCAGAGGCACATTATACCTAAACGTCAAGTTGGAGAGGTCTCGTCTAATGAAGTTAATGCTCCGTCCCCCTCGTGCTCTAATCCAGAATCCCGAAACCTTTCAGCTCGAGTTACGGAACCGCTTTCAGTTCCTAGAAGATTGCAATGTAGTGGACGATATGAATGACAAGTGGAAACTGTCCATGCGGTCGGAGCTAAGTTCTGCAAGACCCGCCGCAAAAGAAAACAAAAACTCTCCGATCACACTCTTAATCTCATGGCTGTTAGACGGGAGATGAGGCTGTAATCGTCTACAGATTTGACAGCATACAGGCAACTGAACAGACAGATCTCCAAATGCATGCTTGGCAACTTAATACTGCTCGTAATAAAGAAGCGATCGAGCAGAACCAGGGCCCCAAAGTCTTTGCCAGAGATCTGTCTGCCAGTAAGAGCCAACTGTCAAAGCTGAAGACTGAGTGTGGCAGCATCGTTTCCGGGACACCTGAGATTTTGAGTGAGATTGAGAGGTTCTATCGACAGCTGTACAAATCATCGTTGGAGCCACACGCAAGTGTGAGTAACGATCCAAGAGCAAGTCTTATCCGACACTATTCCGATGATATCCCGGACGTCAGTCTGAGCGATTAGGCTTCAGTTAAAACGGCAAGGTCCCGGGCGAGGATGGAATTACAGCGGAGCTTCTGAAAGCGAGTGGAACATCGGTACTTCAAGTCCTTCAGAAGCTCTTCAATTCCGTCCTACGTGGTGGCACTACTCCGAAGGCGTGGAGCAGAAGCGCGGTGGTCCTATTCTTTAAGAAAGGTGACAACGCTCTCTTGAAGAACTACACACCGATTTCCCTTCTGAGCCGCGTCTACGTGCTGTTTTGGAGAGTCATTACGAGTCGTCACGCACGGAGACTCAACGACTTCCAGCCTTCTGAACAAGCCGGTTTCCGAAAAGGCTTTAGTACCATAGACCACATACATACCCTTCGGTAAATTGTACAGAAAAAGTGGCGAAGAAAAAGAAACAGTTGCGTTCGGGAAGTTACGACGCATTTTCTCGTCAGGCATACCTAAAAACCTGAAAACTAAGTTGTACAACCAGTGCATGTTGCCAGTGATGACCTACGGAACCGAGACGTGTTCCTTCACTGCTGGCCGTATGAGGACGCTCAAAGTCGCTCAGCGAGCTATGGAGAGGGCTATGCTCGGAGTTTCTCTGCGTGATAATCTTAGAAATGAGGATATCCGCAGTAGAACGAGAGTGACCGACATAGCCCAACGGATCATTAAGCTGAAGGGCCGCGCCGTCAACCGTTGGGGAAAAAAGGTTCTCCAGTGGCAGCCTCGTACCGGTAGGCGAAGTGTAGGGCGATTCCACACTAGATGGAATGACGACCTAGTAAGACGACATGGAGGAAGTCGATGGATGCAGGTGGCTCAGGATCGTGCTTTGTGGCATAACTTGGGGGAGGCCTTTGTTCAGCAGTGGACTGACTGAGTGAATATGACAAGGTTAACAATTTGTGGTCGATAACTAAGTAGGTGGTAAAACTATAAGCTGCTTAAATAGTTGTTGCTAGGTCAGGCTATCGGCGCTTTAACATCATGTGTAAAGCAGCAATGATGGCCGTTGTGTCAGATTGCACACATCAATTTTGTTCACAGCACCAATTAATGTCATGTGCTGACAATAGTTCACTTACTACAGAAATTATTAAGTATGTGTTGTAGTTTATATAAATTGTTTTAGAGCCGTGGTAGCTCAGATGGTTAGCGCTCGCTGTAAATTTCACAGTACGCGAGCAAACCGGGTTCGATCCCCGCCGGCACCAACGAAATTGTTAATTGCAATTTTAATTGCTGATTTACCACGTGCTCGGCGGTAAAGGAAAACATCGTGAGGAAACCTGCACGTCTGAGAAATAAGAAAAAAAACCAAAGACATGTGAAGTTCAGCAACACGCATTGGGGCAGCGTGGCGGACACTTCCTTGCCCTAAAACCCTCTCAGAAATGAGGGATGTATATAGGCTGTAACTTTTAAGTATTTTATCAGGAAAAGTTGGCTCATTATATCTCTTCGCTTCATTGTATATCTTTTCGATAGGGTAGGCTGAATATGTTAAATAGTTTTTATAATATATTATTAATACCAGTATTATTAATGCATATTTTACTTAAAGAATAAATGAGCAAGGTAATATTTTATGTGTAAATATAAAAACATTAAGAGAATTTAGTTTACAATAGCTAAACTAAAATATTAGTTTCAACTAAATATCCAGAATTTATATAATAACACCAAATTTTAAAAGTAGAATGAAAAAAATTAGTTTATGTTAACTATACTTAAATTACACATTTTAGATTCAAACAAAATGTCCAGAATTCACGTATTTATACAACAAGAGCATTATCACAAGCCATTAATGAAAGTAATGATAAACCTAAGGTATTTGTTTTGGTAACCGGAGTTGGTGCTTATGAACCTTCCAATACTGTAAAATATGATGAATGCAGTCCTACTACTGGAACTGATTTCTTTTCACAACTCTTAGTAGAATGGGAAAAGGCTGCAAATGTAAATCCACCAGTGAGATTAGTAAGTATGATACTATTTTTTATTTCTTTCAAGTAGCTGTTATTGGATGGAATAGAATAGAATCATTTTTATTCAATACTAGCTGGTACTCGGCACATTACTGCCGAGATGAAATAATTATAGAAAATTTGTTTTAAATTTGGAGAGTTATATTGCTAAGTTAGGAATGATAATACGTTCATTGAAGTTGAATAATATATATCATGCAAATAAATTCGTCAGTACTATATGACACCTACTGTAAGTTAATTGTCTTATGCCTGGAACCTTAGTGCAAGTGCAAGAAATAGGTTGACACAGTTTTATCGTAATCTGATGAACTGTATGGCAGCGCATAAAGTACAAACAAATGAATATTAATTTTTATATATTAGATAGAAACATGTATTCTTATTGAATTTTGATGAAAATTGAAATATTTTATTTTTACTACTGGTTTGGAAAAGACCTCCGTCCTGGGAAGAACCAACAAGAAACCCAGTGGATCTTTTTTAAACCACAATTTATATTATTTTATGTTATACAATTGTTATGAAAACATTTAGAAACGGCATGGTAGCGATTACCTCATTCCGGACGGTTATTATCCATTGTGTACTCTTTAATAGTACTTACCCTTACTAAACAATTTTTGTTTAGTAAATATTTTAAATCATTTGATAGATAAGGTAATATACACATATTTTCAGGGACTTTGTTGTTAAAGTGTATATACATACATTGCGACATAGAAATGAATGACTCTTTGGAGTCAAGTAACTGGTATAACTAAAGCGCTTATTACATTATAAAAATTTTAGGAAATCTAATTAGGAAATGGAAGGTGTAATCGTAGTTAGAACAGTTAGGATCCGATTTAGTCAAATTGGAGGTCCCAATCGCTCTACTTCCTAAATTGTTTACAATTTAGGGCAGTGTAATCGCAACGTTACGATTTAGAACAACCAGTCGGCGCCCGCGCTTTGATACAAGCGGATGTCTTGAAGTTTTGATAGAAGTCTAATATCAGAGAGCAGTACTTTAAATCTTAATGTTAATTTCCGGTGGCTATAAAACGTAATGTCACCATCAAACATTCTTTGGTACTCACACTTTATCGAAATATCGTGACTTCTTTTTCAATATGTTTTTTTTTAACTTAACAAATATTCAAACTGTTCATAGGTGGTAGAGCCATGCTGCAGTTATATTAGTAGAGCAGGAATGGGTCGGCTTGACCGAGGAAGCACCACGCTCCCACAGAATACCAGCGTAAAACAGTAGCTTAATGTTGCTGTGTTTCGTATGGCGAGTGTAGAGAACCGGAGACCCTTTTTACTGGAAACGAGGCATTCCATCTTAGTCGTCACAGGTGACAACACATCTGCATTTTGATTTGTAATCGGAGATAGATGTAGATGTCCATGGGCCGCAGCAACCACTTATCATCAGGTGGACTGTGTGCTAGTTTGTCACCCTATCCTATAAAAAAACTGCTTAGAATCTAAAAATATATAATTATATTCATATTGGACAGTTTTTTCTCAATGACAAGTACTCTTTTCTCTTTTTTTAATATCCATTGTTCCCACCACGGCTAAGGCAAGTCCTATTTTCTGCTGTTTTGATAAATACGGCGCCATCGATCAAACGTGCAACCCCGTCGTTATTTCTTTACGAATGCGCTTCGTCACGATTTAGAATTCAATTTAGTGTAATGTGATCACTAGCTTCCAATTTAGGTTCCTAATTAGATTTTCTAAAAATTGTATAATGTAATAAGCGCTTAATGCCTAAATAACAGCTTTTTACTAAATGCATATGAAAGTGTAATACACCTACGGTATTATAACAAAAAACTGTCTGTTTGTACGTTTTCTGTTTTTTCTGGCTAATCTCTGAAACGGCTGGACCGATTTTTTTGGACAGGACTTTTACTAGCAGATAGCTGATGCTGTAAGGAGTAACTTAGGCTACTTTTATCTAGATATAATTTAATATATTTATTTTAATATATAATAGGTTTCACCGCAAAAAATTAAAACCCTTGAATTTCATATCAATCGTAATAAAATCTGAGCAGCCGAAGTTGCGGGGGAACAGCTAGTTTTTTATTTTTCTGTGCGTACATTAAATTTTAGTAAATATATTGAGAGGTCAAAGTTAATATATTTATTTATTTAAATTTTTCTCTAGGGGATTCCTTCAGACCTAGGTTATAAATTGCTTATATGGCTCTTCTGCAGAGCAGTGATAATCTCAATGTCAGTTTCATTACGCCATAGCAAGATTTCATATGACATGTCATGGAAATATCTAAAATAAACTAATCTTACTGTTTCAAAACATGTAAGGCCTCTAGTTTTTTTTACAGCATATGCTGCAGAACTAAGTTTACTAGCTAGTTTAAACATACTCGTATGAGAAATTCCGAGTAAAACCGTGGAGTCAACAAGGCCCAGCTCCTCCACATTTAAAAGTAAACTGCTATTCACCTGTTCAACATTTACCATCACTTCAAGTTCACGCTAAACATAGGCCTCCCTCAAAAAAGGCCATCCATCCATCGACTTCCTGCATGTCTTACCAGGTCGTCACTCCGTCTAGTGAAGGCTGCCATTCGAGAACCTTTTTTCCCCATCGGTTGTCGATTCTTCGAGCTATATGGCCGGCCCATTGCCACTTCAGCTTAACTAATCCGTTGGGCTATGTAGATAATTCTGGTTCTACTGCAGATATCCTCATTTCTAAGTTTATCATGCAGAGAAACCCTTTGCATAGCTCGCAGAGCAACTTGAGCGTCCTCATACGACCAGCAGTGAAGGACCACGTCTCAGATCCATAAGTCATCACTAGTAACACGCACTGGTTATAGTACAATCTCGTTTTCAGATTTTGAGGCACCTGGCGAGCAGATGTGTCTTAATTATCCGAACTTTGCCCAGCCGAGTTGAATCTGTCGATTTACTTCGCGATCGAAGTTGAACTTACGTAGTCGGACTATTTGTCTAGGTATCAACAACTTCGAACTTAGTGCTCTCAACAACTACCGGCGTAGGTGTGACATGGACGTTACACATGATCTTTGTTTTGTCCATGTTAGTCTTAAGACCCATCCGTTGGGATACACTATTGAGGATAGTGTTTAGGTCCCCCTGCGATTCTGCAATAAATGATGATGTTAATACCGTGTCTTTTAAAGCCCAATAGCTTGAAAACGTCTTCCAATGCAGCGGTAAAGAGTTTCGGGGTAATAACATCACCCTGTCTTACACTTCCTTGCAGTTGTTTAGGTTTCGTACTCTGGTTCTGTACTCGGATAGCCATCGTAGCCCAACTGTATAAATACTTCAGCACTTCGATATACCGACAGTCAAGTTGGCACCACTGAAGGGACTGTAGCACCGCTCAAGTTTCAACGGAATGAAAGGCTTTCTCATAGGCCACATACGTAAGGCAAAGTGGCAGATTGTACTCTTTTTTATAGGATAAGGTTGACAAGGGAGCACACATTCCACCCGATGGCAAGCGGATACTGTGACCCATAAGATATCATTTTACATATTTAACCTCGCTTAAGAATCAAAATGCAGATGCGTTGTCACCCCCGAGGACCAATATCAAGCCTCGATTCCAGTTAAGCGGGTCTCCGATTCTCTACATTCACCATACGAAACGGCAGCGTTGAGCCGCTATTTTACGCTAGTATTTTGTGAGAGTGCGGTCTAGCAGACCCATTCGTGCTACAACCATAATATACCTTCAGTGTGGTTTTACCACTCTTCGGTCTTCTGTACAATTTGCCGAAGGGCATGTATGTGGTCTTCGGTACAGCTTTTCGGAAACCGGCTTGTTCAGGAGGCTGGAAAACGTCGAGTCTGCGTACGAGACGATTGGTAATGACTCTTTAAAAAACATCACGTAGACACGGCTCAGAAGGGAAATCGATCTGTAGTTCTTCAAGAGAGCGTTGTCGCCTTTCTTGAAAAACAAGACCACCGAACTTCTGCTCCTGGAGTAGTCCCACCATGGATGGCGGAATTAAAGAGCTTCTGAAGACTTGAAGTACCGATTTTCCTCCAGCTTTCAGAAGATCCGCTGTAATTCCATCCTCGCCTGGGGCCTTGCCATGTTTGAGGTGCTGGAGAGCCATTCTAATCTCGCTCAGACTGACGTCCGGGATATCATCGGAATATATCGTGTTAAACATTAGGTGTGGTGAATTTAATATATTTCATTGATGTGTATCTGTTTATGTATGTTATTAAATATAATTTTAATAATTGACCTATCGCTTAACATATTCGCTTACGGTAAGGATATATTTTGTATATAAGGATATAAAGTAAAGTTACAGCCTATATAATGTCCCACTCCTCATTTCTGAGTGGGTTTTAGGGCAAGGAAGTGTCCGCCGCGTTGTCCCAATGCGTGTTGGCGAACTTCACGTCTTCGAAATATATTTTTTTCTTAATTCCAGACATGCAGGTTTCCTCACGATGTTTCCCTTCACCGCCAAGCACGTGGTAAATCAGCACTTAAAATTGCAATTAACAATTTCATTGGTGCCGGCGGGGATCGAACCCGGGTTACTCGCATTCTGTTATATTTAAAGCGAGCGTTAACCATCTGAACTACCACGGCTCTTCTTTTTTGATTCTTACAAAATATATAAGGATATATTTTGTAAGAATATATTTTGTATATAAATCATTATGTGTACCTATTTTCCAAGTCCAAGCTTCCAGCTTTAGTGCTCCAGTCTGCATTTTCTTATTGCATTATCTTATGTTATATGTTATGTTATGTCAGTCACTCGCGAGCTCTCGTACAGCGCAGTCTAACTGTGTACGGATAAATTTACCCTCAATATTTGATAAGTAAGAATGTCTAAATGCGACAATTGTGATAAGTCCATAACAAAAAAGTCACCTAGGCTTGAGTGCAACAAATGTGGAAAAATAGTACACGCCAATCAATTATGCACAGGCTTATCTTCGAAGCAGCTATCAGCTCTGCGCAATGCTGAAAACCTGGAGTGGACATGTGAGGATTGTCGTAAAGAATCGCCTCATCGTAAGTCTTTCATAATTCCGGAGGACGATGACGATGATACTGATGGGATTCAGCTGGGTGAAAGCGGTTCGACAGCGATGAGTAAATTACTTCGTGATATCTCACTTGAGGTAAAGAAAGCAGTGAAGATGGAACTGGCTTCTGTGAACGAATCGTTAAGCTCATGGTGGATAAAAATGGATACTATAAATGCTACACGGGAAATCCTAACTGAGAAAGTGAAAGACTTGGAGAAGAAAAACATGTACTTGACAAATCAAAATACCCACTTGGAATTAAAAGTTAACGCTATGGAACAACAAATCAGAAATATGGAACAAAAACAGTTGGATAATGTACTGGAAATAACAGGAATTCCCGAAGATAAGGACGAGAACTTAGAAAAACTTTCAAGTAAACTAGCCTCGAAACTAAACGTAGAGAAACGTCAAGCGTCCATGGTGAAAAGACTGAAAGGCAGGGACGGCAAAGAAGGTGTGATCCAGGTAGTATTACAACAAGAGGAGCAGGTCGACCAGTGGATCCGCGCTGCACGAACGGAAACAATTGCTTTGGAAGATATAACTCCAAATGCCCCTAATCCTGAAGTAGCCAAGAGAAGAGTGTTACTTCGGCGTGCACTAACTAAAGCTAATAAAACACTTCTGTGGCAAGCTAAACAAACCTTGAAGGAAACTTACAAATATATTTGGTTCCAGGGTGGTAAAGTTTTGGCTCGTAAATTTGATAATGACAAGCCCGTTATCATAAGAAGCTCATGTGATATTGATAAGTTGTCTACTCAAAAATATCGATAGCAGTTATATTAAATCTATGTTATTTAAAAAACCTACCAAGCGCGATATACTAACTATTATAAAAAGTTTAAATGCAAATAAATCGGCTGGTAATGATGGAATCCGATGTTTTGATGTTAAGATGCTGAGTGACAAGATTGCTAATATTGTAGTTAAGCTGATAAACACTAGCATAGCTGTAGGAAAATATCCACAAGAATTGAAAACTGGCACCGTAAGACCAATTTATAAAAAGGGATCACATAGTGAGTATGATAGCTATAGGCCTATAACAATACTGTCAGTCATAGATAAAGTAGTCGAAAAATATGTGGCTCAGCAAATTCACAATTTTTATACTAGATACGATATATTATCAAATGCTCAATACGGCTTTCAATCTAAGAAATCAACTACTATATTGCTGTCTAAATTCACGGACGAAATAAACCAACACCTGAATGATAAAAAACATGTCATATTATTATTCATTGACTTTAGTAAGGCATTTGATACTCTTAGGCACGATATTCTTATAAAAAAACTTGACAATACAGGTATTCGCGGGCCATTATTACAATGGTGCCAAGATTATCTCAACGATAGGAAATACCGGGTTAAGATCGGCAATGATTTCAGTGACGAAATATTTGTAACTACTGGAACAGCACAAGGCTCCGTGCTCGGACCCTTGCATTATCTAGCATACGTGAATGATATGGAAAATGTAATAAAACATTGTTCCATTTATCAATACGCGGACGATACATGTCTTATAGCAGTCGATAAAGATCTAGATAATGCCGAACACCTTTTACAAAATGACTTCAATAACTTATGTAAATGGTCTCATGATGTTGGTTTAGTACTGAATGCTAGTAAAACTAAAATTATTCATATTCGATCTAACTACCTACGCAATTTTGATAAGAAAATCGAAGTAATTGCGCATAGTCATCACAGTGCTTGCATGTTTTTGAAACAAATAGGACCGGGTGCAAATGTGAATTGTTAGAGCAGGTTCCCCGTTACAAATATTTAGGACTAGTAGTCGATAACAGATTTAACTGGGGTTATCACATTGACTCAATATGTGAAAAACTGAGAGCAATGCTGGCCAAATTTGCTATTTTGAAATACAAAGTACCATTTAAAATATTACTAAATTTATATAATGCACTCGCAGAGTCAATCATTTCATATGGGATCACTAGCTATGGTAGGACGTTTAAAACATATTTGGACAAAATATACAGCCTACAACTTCGGCTTTTAAAAATAATAATACCTGATAAAATTATAAAATCAATCTGCTTCGGAGACGATGTATTAGCTTTATTTAAATATTGTGAGATATTGCCTGTTCATATTAAAATAAAAATGTGGCTATTAATTGAACAATTTACGAACAAAGAAATACAAATAAAAGTGAATCATAAAACAATGACACGGAAAGTAACTCAATTAAAACTAGAATTACCAAGAGTTAGAAATTATTACGGAAAACGAACGAACGCGTATTTAATACCAACCCTCGTTAATGATATACCTACTAAAATCAGATTAGGAATAACGGACAAAAACTATAAAAATAAATATAAACAATACTTTAATTCTTTACTTTAATAACAAGTTGTCTAATTTTAATGAAATCAAACCTAACATAATGTCATATCGATAATCGAAACATCATGTATATAACACACTCAAGTAGCATCAGCCGGCTGTCCGCCAGCCATGGCGAGCTGCTTATCTACAACCGGTTCCTTTATGTCCACTTGTATTTAAAGAATGTACCTATACTTCATACTGTTAATACTATATTTGATGATCTTATTAAATAAGAATACGTATAAACTAATGTCAACAGATTGCTCAAAAGTGTCTCAACATCCAGACAAACCCGTAAGGGTTTTGTGATGTTTAAATTGCGATTTTATGTATTTTTTCTTATATTAAATAAATTCAAAAAAAAAATATTAACATGAGTTTTTTATTTTCAGGTCATAATCCGGTCGGGAGCTGTCATTGGTCGTGATGGAGGAATGATAAAGAATATGATTGTGCCATTTTTCTTTGGTCTAGGTGGTAGATTGGGATCTGGTAAGCAGTATTTGCCTTGGATTCATATTGATGATCTTGTTCGTCTAATAAAATTCTCCATAGAAAATGAAGAGGTTAAGGGAATTTTGAACGGCGTAGCACCGCAAGTTATAACTAACGAACAGTTTACTCAGGTATAATTTACATACAAAATATGTTTCAGTATTTTGTATTGATATTATTAAGAATTAACATAACTTTAACTAATGTTATGTACATAATTATAAATGTATTTATAATTATGTACATAACATTAGTTAAAGTTTAGTATTTTTATGTTTTGAGTTCTGACTGAATGGACTACTTACCAAACGATCTTTGAATAACTAACTCTCCTATATATAATGTCTACTCTACTACTCTCATATATATATAATGTCTTAAACAAGTTGTAAAAAAGGTTTTTGGGGTTGTCATTGTGATTTAAAAGAAGTTTTATTCCCCTAGGAGATTTGATAATCTGTTCCATTTGGATCCATCAGGATATTTAAAGACACCTTCGTATTTAAAGAAAAACAAATATAAAAACCCGTAAGACATATTTTTTAATCATTTTTTATTGTTACAATTAACCCCGACCAAAATTGTCTTGGACAGAGCCTGTATAGCATTTCTCAAGGAACACCTTCATAAAATAACAGTTTAATGCTGCTGTATTTCGTATAGTGAGTGTAGAGAACCGAAGACCTCTTTACGCTGTAAACGAGGCGTTCTAAGTCCCCAGGGGTGACAACGCATCTGCGTTTTGATTCTTAATCAAGGATCCACAAACTGACAGGTGGACTGTTTTGTAGGATTCAGACCAACGAAGGAATATAGAACGAGCACTGCAGTGACTGAAACTATGCTCAACTTCTTAACACGCACTTACGTATACATAGTTTTCTTTTTTCTATCAGCCCTTTAAAGTTCACTTCGGGATGCACACAAATGCACCTAAAACCATGTTGTGTAGTTGCAAATAATTGCAAATTTACTCTCTTACAATATGTTGAGCATGGTTTTGGCTTGGATTTTGCATCACTTAAAATGTACGCACCGCTTCATCTTTATTTGTTCCTTTGTTAGTCTGTGGTAATATCATAATACACTTTCGCATTTTTTCAAATCCAGTATTTATTTAATAACCTTCATCCATATATACATAGCCGCTTATTAAACTTAATTGCAGGTTCTAGTTCAAGTCCTCCATCTTCTGTTTTTGTTTCACTTGACCCACTCACTAGTTCCAATGTATTGCACGGTATTTATTTAATAACCTAATATCAATAAAATAAAAAATTGTTTCTCTATTAATTTTGCTTAATAAAACAGGTAACTGTTTTAAATTCCCAAAGAATCTTGTTGGAACAACGAGTAACAACACCCCAATAAAAACATCCCTTAACAATAATTCCTCAGAGTATATAGTTCGGGAATTTGAGTGGAATTTCCGGGATTCTTATGGGGAACCGTAAAAAACCGGTGTTTCTATGTTGTAAATGCAATTTATAGCTATTTTTTTATATTTAGCAGGCTTTTTATTCTTTTTCAGTCGTTCGCGAAAGCATTGGGCAGACCAGCATTTTTCCCGGTTCCTGAATCAGTGTTAAATTTTTTACTACATCCTGAACGAGCCATGATTGTGACCAAAGGGCAGCATGTTGTACCGAAAAGGGTACTCGAATATGGATTTAAATATCAATATGATAATATTGATGATGCTTGCAAAGAATGCGCTCATCTGTTTCCCAAGAAATGAGCGCTGTCACAAAAACTTTGTGTATTAACAATATTTATAACCATAGATTTTTTTTAAATCGTGTTACTACACACTATTAGTTTCTAAAGGACTTGTTTCGTGTGGGATTCGAACCCGCGGCCCTAAACGCTACAACCCATTGCTAAGCCACTGCCTAATAATAATGTATTCTAACTTCTGTATCTGTATGATATAATAAATCTTTGGTTTTAGCTAATGAAAGAAAGTAGTTCTAATATTATTTATTTCTATTTTTATCAAAAAATTTATAACTTTTTAAAAAAAAAATGTAGTGATAAAAGGCAGAATAATAAAAGAACGATTTTTTATAAATATAAGTTAAATTGATCAAAGATTTCCTGTATTGATCAGCTACATGCATTTTTATGTTGTTTTATTATATAGTAGGTACTTAATTTTTATAAATGATGTTAGATTTACCACTTTTAATTGGAATCTTGATTTTGTCTGCAACCAAAATTACCTGATTTTTACTTTTTTGTCAATTGTTGAAACTGGATATCTTTTTTTTACTTTCAAATCACAGTTATTTCCTTAATTTTTGAATTAACTCATCGAGATTCGTCAGTCCTTTTAGTTTGTTATAATGTTGAATAAAGAATTTGTTTTAGATTTTCATTCATTCTTTCGATCAATATACTTAGCCCACCTAAAGTCCACATCTGAACATAGTCCTCCCCGTAGATTGTCTCATAAAAGAGATATTTGCCACGGTTGCCATGCTTTGCAGGTGGGTTTGCAATAGCAGTTTTGTACTTTCTAGTTGTTATTACAAAGACGCGGCTGCGAATCTCCAGGCTTGTTTTTCTCTGTCGCCTATTACGACACCCACGGGACTATGTTGGGTTTTTGGATATCCTTACAGCGACACCACACGGTAAGAACATATTTTTTTTTATTAAATAGGGTGACAAACGAGTACACAGTCCACCTGATGGTAAGTGGTTGCTGCGGCCCATAGACATCTACATCTATCCTCGATTACAAATCAAAAAGCAGATGCGTTATCACCCGTGAGGACTAAGATTGAATACCTCGTTTCCAGTACAAAGGGTCTCCGGTTCTCTACACTCACCATACGAAACATAGCAGCATTAAGCTACTATTTCACGCTGGTATTCTGTGAGAGCGTGGTCCTTCCTCGGTCGAACCGACCCATTAGTGCTACTATACTATTAATATAACTGCAGCATGGCTCTACCACGTATATATATACATATTGCACACGTATGTTTTTCTTTAAATAGAATAAGTTTGACAAACGAGCACACACTCCACCGGATGATAAGTGGATGCTGTGACCCACATTTATTATCGATTAAGAATCAAAATGCATATGCGTGGTCACCCGTGAGGACTAAGTTGCCATGTCTCGTTTCCAGTAGAGGGTTTCGGGTTTACTACACTCACCATACGACATAACATCCTTAAGCTGCTATTTTACGCTGGTGTTCTGTGAGGGCGGAGTAATAATTCGGTCGAGCCGACCCATTCGTGGTACAGCCAATGTAGCTGCAACGTGGCTCTACCACGTATAAATTATTTTAATTGATTAATATGTGAAGTTAGAACGTTCAAATCACGGAATATAAAAAACAACTGCTTACTGCGACATCTAACGTTAAGAAGCCGAATTTGATCATTAATTCTAGAAACTTCTTTGATGATAAGGAATATGATCTTTATTTCGAAGAACTTATGGTTCGTAATCAAGCGAATCGCGAGTAACATAATGCCTTTTTTATATTCCGTGTACCTTTCCCTTTTATTTAAATCCATTCACTAAAGCCTATGAGAGGTTCACTGATGAACGTAAACCTCGCTATAGATTGCCAGATATTTAGTAATGCCCAGACATTTAGTAATAATAGACCGGACATCACGGTTTATTATCGTAAGAATAATGTATATTTATCAAATAATCTTTAAATTTTATTATTTTTATTAAATAGTTCTAAAACATTTATTATTATTGTAAAAAGTGCCCTCTGTTGTCCAACAACGTCACCTTGTATTTAGTAGCGTCACCTAATGAGGAATATCTAAAATGTTTCCTAATAAATGATGATATTTATTTCGTAATAGATAGATGGCGTGACATACGCATGAGCTCAGTTTTTGTATGCAAATGTGCCCAATAACCGCTCTTAATTATTATTTCTTATATTTAAATCTCTTTGGTTGTCACGTTTGGTAGGCGAACTGGCGAAACGGAGCTTTTAAACTATATCATGATGTTATCAGGAAGATGATGCTGTCAACTCCAGTTCGATTACAATTCTTCGCCTCTTTCGACACCTATGACTTGCATATGGATTGCAGTAGTATATTTTTAAGATTAATACTATATAATAGCAATTTGTTATAAGCAGGGGTAAACAGTGTGAAGAAAACCTGTAGCGTAAAAAAATAACCATTCTAAATTTAATTGTGGTGAAGATATACTCCAGATGAAAAATAACTTCTGCAGGGCATCACGATTTAGTAACCAGGGAGTTTTCTCATAGAACACCAGCGTAAATTTTGCAGTTTAACACTTAAAACTTATTTAAGTATATGTATATATTTTTTTTTTTTTTTTTTTTTTTATCTTAACTACAAATTTACGCCGTCGGTCACGTTTTAAATGCAATACTCCATACAAATTGACTGACACGGCCGTCAAAAGCTTAATGTTCCTGTGTTTCGTATGATATGGCGAGTGAAGAGCACCGGAGCCCCTTTTTTTATAGAATAAATAGCGACAAGCGAGTACTTAAATAATCCACTTGATAGTAAATGGATGCTGTGGCCCATAGAAATTACCATTTATTCTTAACTAGGAATCAAAATGTAGATGCGTTGTAACTCCCGATGACAAATATGGAATGCATGGTTCCCAGTTGAAAAGGCGTTTGGTTCTTTACACTCACCATAAGGAACATAACAGAATTGCTCTGCTGTTTCACGTAGGTATTCTGTGAGAGCGTAGTTCTACCGCGGTCCAGCCGAATTCATTACCAATTCGCAATGTAGCCATATATAAATGCAGCGTGGCTCTACTAAATTTTGCCTCGTTACCATGTAATCAGTCCTTTCGTACATTTCGTAACAGGTGACAGAGGAATATTAAGCTAAATAAAACTCATTTTTTATATAAATTTATACATTATAAACCTCGAATAAAAATGTCACAAGTTATACAGCGTGTTTTAATTTAAAAGAAGTTGGTACTTATGTAGTAAAAACCTAATTACGGTTTAAATGTAGCGTAAATGTAATTTTTTTAAGGTCAAGTCAACACACCGACGATATCTTCTACGTGAAAACAGATATATTATAATGTAAATAAATATTAATACATCTCTACGTAATTTAACATAAATATCTTAGTATTTATTAATAACACTTAACTACGAATGCATAAATTAAATATTCTATTTGTATCAATGTATACGAGATTACGAAATGCTCATGGAAAATGTCTTGCACGCTATACTAAAAATATACTAATTGAAGATTTTGCACTTATTAATTAATCTACCTAAGGTTGATTTTATATTTTTATTACATAATAAAATTCACGGCTTTACTAGATTCGAAAACACTCTACTTCATTACGTATTATTCAAGCTGCTTTTCGAACCTTGCCCGCAGTATGGTTGAATTGCTTGGTGTAACATGTTCTTATAAATTTTAGTTTTTGTTTCAAGGATAATTTTCTATTTCTGCAAATTTAGCCACCAGCTTGGAGACGTATTTTCGGAGGATATCTTGCCTCATTCTACCCACATCCAAAACCTCTTCGTGATTAGCTTCATCGTCTTTGTCGTAGCTCGTCACACATTCGTTTGTAATTAATGATAGTGCAAATACTTTCATATCGCAATGCCTTGCTATTATTACCTGTAAAATAAACAAGGTAAAACCATAATTAAATAAGTACAAGGTAGGTTTCACAATCTTCCCTGATTCTGTTTTCAAATAACAGTGCAATTGCTGTGTTCTAGTCGGGAGTTTAGCTTTGGTCTCTTGGTCGTAGCGCACAACGCTGTGGTATGCGGCATGGACACATAATCGTACGAAAAAAGTGTAGAATGGTCTCTTGTTCGGTCGCAGTATGCGGTAGCGGCGAAGGGCAAGCGCGGTGAAGTGGGGAGCGGGTACTCCGCACTGCGCGGCGTCGTTCTCGTTGCGACGCTGTGGTGTGCGTCACGGGTTGACGTTGGATTTGTTTCAAGATCATTTAATAGAATGAATGCTTCTTTGTCTTTTCAGAAGCAGTAGAAGTTCTTCCTCCTCCTCAAGTAAAGCACAAATTTCAAAAGTATTGTTCATGTTGACACGTCTATTTTGGTAGCTGCGGCAAAATCAACTGACCACTTCTCCGCAGAGATAAGTCGTGACGCTGCGTTTGAGCCGCATACCGCAGCGTTGTGCGTTACGATCAAGAGACCAAAGCTTAGTTTAAATTTGGTTACATCTGTCCATGAGCTACAGTAGCCACTTACCATCAGGAGGACTAGGTGGTTTGGTAATTCAGTTTTATAAAAAAAAGTTACGTTTTATATTAACCTAAGCATTAACTTTTTTTTATAAATCCCATCTATGTATGGAAATATAACTTATTTCGTACTTCCATATTAGGCACGCTAATATGGAAGAAAGTATGTAATTAAACCATGTTTACATTGGGTGCGTTTGGCAGAAAAAAGCGCTAGCAAGCGCTTACAAGCGCTAAAATAGTTTTCGGCCAGGACACGATTGCTACTTCAGTAGCGCTGACACAATCCGCCATTTTGCTTATTTAATTTGTTTGTTTTGAAGTAGAGTTTATAAGTTGTTTTGTGCAATATTAGTTTTAAGTAATATAATAACATGTATAAACATATACATGTTATTAAAAATTCATGATTAGTAAGTTTTTAATATGAATACTTTACAAACATATATTTAAATTAGGTTAGGTTCCCTGGTTAAAACTAACATCGTGTCCTAGA